TGGTGTTATGCATCAATACAAACTTTATTAGCAAAACCTCATTTGTGAGCGTGACAGTTATTAAAGTTGAGCTCCACACAGAACAAACCTCTACAAACATCCAAACTCATATTTGATCAGAGCTGCAGGTCTGCTTCTCCTGCCCCCTCCCCCCAGACAGAGCTCCTGTCCTGGGCTTCAGTCGGCCCGTCTAGCCCTGACACTGGCTCCTGGTGAGGGACTGGGTCTGACTGTGTCCGTGGTGGAGGACCCTGCAGGAGTACAGCTCCCCTGTCTCCCAGTGCTCCCGGCTCAGGGTCAGGGTGCTGCTGCTGCTGAAGCGTCCGCTCTTCTCCTGCTCCGAGCTGGTAAGGACCCCCTCCGTCACCTCTGTGCCGTCCACGTCCCAGCTCACCACAGCTCCCTGAGGAGAGTAGCCAGTCAACAGGCAGGCCAGCATGGCCGAGCCCCCAGAGAGCTGCTCAGAGGAAGGGGGAAGCAGAGAGACCGAGGGCCTGACCATGGGGCCACCTGGAGGGGAGAGTAGAGACACACAAGAAGATGAGAGTCACTTATCTTATCTCATCTTAGCGTTACCTAATTGTATCATATCGTATCTTAACCGAGACAAGACCCATCAAGAAAATCTGGAGTATGAAACTCTTTAACAGTCATTTTTATACACGCAGGGTTAAAAAAATCAAGTTTCCAATGAGCTGAACTTTGATATAAACTTAATTCAAGCTTCTTTACATCGTCTACAGAAAATGTCCATTCGCATCCTCATTCAGAATACAATCATTTCATGTGCTGACATAATTCAGAGACCTATTGTTTCAATTTGGCAAAGTCATGATTGAACTTTTCAACTTCTAATCGTTGTTGCTTATTAACAGACTGAAATTCATATTCACTTTTTTTCCCCTTTCWAATATGATTGTTGTCTGATAACTACCGGATGTAATAAAACATAGAGACACATTTATTTATCTATTGAGAAATACATTATGTGCAAAGTTTGATCCACCATGAAGCCAGACTTACTGTGAATGATGAGTTTGGTGCCTCCGCCGAACGTGTACCACAGTGATAGAAGTCTGTTAAGTCGCTGTACAAAAACCTCCTTCACACAACAGTGAGCACAAAGCACAAAGTCATGTCAGTGACAA